GCCTGGGTTGCTCAGTTGGTTAAGCGTCTGCCTTTGACTCAGGTCATGATCTCAGGGTCCTGGGATTGAGCCCCACATCGGGCTCCTGCTCAGCGGGCAGCCTGCTTCTCCCTTTGCCTGCCACTCCCCCTGCTTGTGTTCTCTCTCTAATAAATAAATAAAAATTTATTTATTTATTAGAGAGAGAGGAAAGAGAGCGAGCACAAGCAGGGGGCCGGGAGGAGAGGGAGAGAGGGAGAGAGAGAGAGGCTTGCAGATGTTTCAGGATCGGACACCGACCTCCAGCTCCAGCTTTATCCTTTGTCATTCCCACCAGACCTTAAATGTCCTGTGCTGTCTACAGCCTCCCTGGCCTTTGTCAGTCTCTGGTCTTCATAAACACTCCTCTCCCAACTGTTTTGTTTTGTCTTGTTTTTTTGCCTAGCTAGCTTATGTTTGCCCTAGAGGTCATATTTAGACTTCACAATATGCCGTCTTGTAATCTACTTTATTCATTTTTTTCATTTATCTAGTATAATTGACATAATGGGATAAAATTGTGCTTTTCTTTTCTTTTTGTAATTCTTGAAATGTAACCATCTTTTATTTTAGCCAGACATATTCTTTGCCTCAGAAAGAGTAAGAATCACTGGAAGGAATCTTTAAGGAGAAAGAATCATGGTCAGCTTTTGTTACCAAAATAGGATCTAGATATGCATTGCAAAAAAATAGGCTTTGTTATCTAGAAAGAACTCTGAATAAGGCCAGGGAAAGGGACCTTCTTCTAGGTTGGGAGTCCACGAGGGTCAAGCTGGCTCTGACTGGGTTCTTCAGGCATCCTGGGCCCCACCATGCTGGGCCGTCAGGGATGACGGACGGGAGTCTGTGGCACAAGAACACGTTTCCCACTTCCTGGGCAGAATACCACCATTCCCATTCTCCACAGATTCTTTTGGGTTTTCTACATAGACACTCATATAATCAAAAATAACACTTTTGTTTCTTTCTTTCCAACCACTGGGCGGTCCCTGGGTTGCAGAATCTTGGGAGATTTTATAGATGTCGATGCCTGCAGCACCCTGGATCCCAAATATGTTCCCTGGCCTTCCATGCCTCCCATCAGGCCTCTTGAATCCAGTTGGTAACCAGGGCCGGTCCTTCTTTGTGAAGCTCCGCCCCCAAACGTGCTTCTTTTTCTAATTTCACCTTGCTTCCACTTTTTATCCAAATCGGAGTTTTCATCATCTCCTCTGACTGTGAAGTTGAGTGGCTTTTACCTAACTGTTGTTCTTATCCTTAGTGCAGACTGCTCAGTGGCAGAGGAGGGCGCCTGGGGGCTCAGTCGGTTAAGCGGCTGCCTTTGGCTCCTGCTTCCAGGCCCTTATCAACTCTCCAACTACCCTGTCTTCCCCTCTGATCTTCAATCTCCCATCAGATGCTCTCTTCCCACTTCCAATTTATCAAAAGGTAGCCCAGAGCCCTCCTATCTTTCCAGGCACATCTTACTCCCCTGATAGTCTCCTTAACACAGTCACATGCAAAAGCATGCAGATAACAGCCTGACGGGAGAGGTTCCACGTGTGTGAAAGGGGGGGCTTTGTTTTCCCTCAGAGAGGAGCAGTATCTCTGAGGTCCACCACTTGGCCTCTTTTAGGAGAACTGCCTGAACTTTTTAAGATTATGGGCGCAACGGTTCATACCCTGGTCTATCTAGCCAGGACTGATACCATCACAGGTGATGCAAGGGGAAAGTTGGGATGAAAAATAAATACAAACAACACAAAAATACCTCCTAACTCCCGGTAATAGGAGGCAGGCTGGGTAGAAGGATCACCACCCTCTCAAGGGAGGGTGACATGGGAAAAAGGGGCACAGTTCCTGAACAGACACATTGCCCATCTGTGAGAACTGCAGACTCCATCTTTGTCTCTTTGTTCCACACCACTCACAGAGGGTTTTCTTGGCTATTAGGAACTCTCTTCTTTTATCAAGTTAAAGGAAAAGTGATAGTGAGTAACACTATCAAACTATCGGGATATATTTCAGAGGGTTTCAGTGCCCTTTCATGTATAGGAAAAACAGACTACATGCCCATGCCTGTCACCATCAGAGCCAATCAGGGCCAAAACCTAAGAACACGTATGTACCATATTTCCATTTTCTACAATAAATATTCCTTTGAGCTCTAACATAAGAGAGACAAGGTGGTCACCTGGCTTTCTCCAAACATTTCTAGGTAAGTTTTAGTGAGGCTTTTTTTTTTTTATGTTATTTATTTACTTAAGTAATCTCTACACCAACATGGGACTTGAACTCACGACCCTGAGATCAAGAGTCGCATGCTCTTCCAACTGAGCCAGCCGGGCGCCCCTTTACTGATGCATTTAAACTTAATACACATGAAATTCTCATCAAGTCATTCCCCAGCTTAAACTCCTTCATTAGCTTCCCATACCCCCAGGGTCAAGTCTCAGCTCCTTCCTATGGTACCGTATCTTACTCCACTTGTCACTCACTCTCCACAGGGACTCTGTGATGTAGATGGTCCCTCCTGTGCCTTCCCCTGGGAACAACTCTCCAGCCAGGTTAGATGTCCATAGGACCTGTTCACTCCCTCCACAGTAGTTACACAGTTGCAATCATTTCATTAATTACATGAAGTAATTTTGGTGGGGGCCATGTCTACTCTGCTCACAGCTATGTCTCCCAGTACGGGAGTGTGTGTAGAAGGCACTCAAAAATATTTTTTGGCTGACTGACGGGTTTCTTGCTTTCTGCAGCGTGTGTGAATTTAATCTTCGTTGTAGGAGTTGAGCCCACTTTGAAACTTGATATATACTATTAGTTGTTCTCTTAAAACGAGTGATTTGTTGTGTTTGCTTGTTTTAAGAATTACATGGAAGGTACAACCCAACACCAAAAAATAATCTTATTAAAAAATGAACAGAGGAAGGCACCTGGGTGGCTCAGTCATTAAGCGTCTGCCTTCGGCTCAGGTCATGATCCCAGGGTCCTGGGATCGAGCCCCGCATTGGGCTCCTTGCTCAGCGGGGAGCCTGCTTCTCCCTCTGCCTTCCCCCCTCCGCCCACTCCTGCTCTCTCTCTTGCTCTCTCTCAAATAAATAGAATCTTTAAAAAAAAGAGAAAAAAGAACCCATCAGTGGTAATGGCAGGCCACTTGCAGTAGCTTCGCAGGGCTGGACTTAAGTCGGGAAGAGCCATAGGTAGAAGTGAATAGTAATGCTAGACAATGTAACCAACAGGTAAAAGAGGTTGCAAACATGTATGAGACCCCTCCATCCTTCCACCTCCCAAAAAACCCAAGATGGGAGCAGGGCTATGATACAGCAATCAAGTCCCAAATCAATGTACCACTCTAATTTGGGCAGTTAAGGTTAACATGAGCTTAATTCTCCATGCATGCAAAAGCCCACACATGCTGGTTAGTACCAAATCATGGCTTCTACCTCGTAACAGAGCCTGACTTATGACTCTACTATTCACGCTTCTCTATTCCAGCACAAACCTTTTCCATGTTTGGTTTCACCAGTTCCATGTAAGATCCAGTCAAAATTATTCTTACAGATAGACTCCACATGGATGCGGCTTGTTGCATAAAACAGAATTTTTTCCACTCTGTTGTTCATCTTCATTTTTTTCCTAATAGAGAAAATGTGAGACTTAACACCCAAAGCATTCCTCTCCCACTATGGTTAATGACATTAATCCCAGTAAAGTCTAATCATCTTAAAATTGGATTCCACCCATTTTCAGAATGGAGCTTCTAACATGAATGCACCAGACACAGAAAAGTGAATTTGTGAGAACTTTTAAATGATAGACACATTAAATCAGAGTCGTAAAACTGAAGCTGAAAGAAGTTCCAGTTTACAAAATGAAAAAAACAACCAGACACTGAAGAAACTCTTGACTATAAAATAAACCGGTGAATAGGTTGTAAAGTATAGCCCTTAACTAATCCTTTCAAACTTTACATTAAAAACAAAACAAAACAAAAAACCTGAGAACATGGCCACCAACCTTTCAAAAGTATTCAAGAGCTTTGTGTTCTTGATCTTCTTTATCTTTTCAATCTTGAAATTTTTCATGGAAGTTTTAAAATAGTCACTTATCATGGCATATTCCGGACAACGATTATCGATCTCTAACAACTAAAAAATTTGAAAAATACGTATAATGTGAAGCAGGAGACATTTAAAGCATGATATGTCCACACGCACGGCCCCCTATGCCACGGAGTATCCTTGACAGGCCTCTGGTAGCAGGTTGCATAAGCTGGCTTAGGGTTTCCACATCTGGAGGTTCATTTTAGTAAAGAACTAGTTGGCATTGGGTCCATCTGTGCAGGCTGACTTAGGGCTAGCATTATGCTTAAAGGCAAAGGGACGCCCCCGGAGGTGTCGGATTTACTCTAACGACCTGGTGAGTTCCTTTGCCTAAAGCTAGAGCAAGGCACCCAAGCAGAGAGGGCTGCCCTCAAAGCTGGAGCATGATGTGGAAGCTAAGTGATCTAGAAAGAGTCTTGCCCCATCTAAGTTAAGTGAGGAGGTGAGGCAGTGTGCGTGTGCGTGGCTGGATGATGAGGTGCCCTGTGGAGAGCAGCTGCTCTCTGGGAAGCTAAGCTAACACAGTTACCGTTTGGATGCCACTGAATCTTGACCCAAGAGTTTTACGGAAACCATTCATCCTTTCATCCAAACAAATACACACATTTACAGCTAAGTACTTCCCCCCCCTTTAAACAATTTACACACCAAAAAGTAAAAACCAAGTACCTCATATCCACTCGAGCCAAAGTCCCACTGAGGAAGCAATGTCGAGGATAGAGGGTCTGACGGGGTCTGCGCCGGCTGACAACTACAGAGAAGAGAAAGACTTCACTTCGTTCCCTGTTCCATATGCCCGAGTTCTGACCTGAAATTCCAGCCACCAAGCCAAGGTTTCCCAGAGAATTTTTTCTTTGTATTTTATTTTGGATTATATTCCTGCATAGTCCTGGTATAGATGTACTAGGAATCATGCTTTAAAAAAAATGCAGTCATTATTCATAATTTGGTAAATTAACGTGATTTTCCCATTGATTTAAAATGCAAAAGCAGGGCGCCTGGGTGGCTCAGTCGTTAAGCGTCTGCCTTCGGCTCAGGTCATGATCCTAGGGTCCTGGGATCGAGTCCCACATCGGGCTCCCTGCTCAGCAGGAGACCTGCTTCTCCCTCTCCCACTCCCCCTGCTTGTGTTCCTGCTCTCGCTATGTCTCTGTCAAATGAATAAATAAAATCTTTAAAAAAAAATAAAATAAAATAAAATGCAAAAGCAGGGGCACCTGGGTGGCTCAGTTGTTAAGCATTTGCCTTCGGCTCAGGTCATGATCCCAGGGTCCTGGGATCGAGCCCCGCATCGGGCTCCCTGCTCAGCGGGGAGCCTGCTTCTCCCTCTCCCACCACCCCCCTGCTTGTGTTCTCTCTCTCACTGTCTCTCTGTCAAATAAATAAATAAAATCTTTAAAAATAAATAAATAAAATGCAAAAGCATTCATTCTTTTTTAGATTCCTGCTCAACCTGCAGAGGATCTAATACGTGAGCATTAAGATATCTTACAGCATCTTTGTGAAACAATGAACACTGAGGCACGGGGGAAGAATTCTGCTGTCTTTCCTGTAGGAACTGTATTTCAGGGTATAGTTCCCCCAGGAAGAAAAAGTCTTCTTTATAGACAATTCACAGCTATTAATTGCAGAATTGACAGAATTAGAAAATCACCATTTTCTAACCCCTAATAAAATAATGGATCGAAACAATGACCCCCAATAGCTACAATAACTATCCAGTGAAAGATCAGATGTTGGAAGAGGGGTCAGACTGGACCGAGCAGCACCCCCGGCTCATCTTCATCACTAAGAATAGGACAACTAGACGTTATGTACCTCTTACTATGATGTGGCAGGAAGCACAAAGTACCACTTCTATAGTTTTCTTGACCAAAAATGGAACCCGAATCTAATCAAGCCTCTACATCGAACCATCAACTCGCAGAAATTACTTATCAGATGCCCCCATGGGCATACAATTTGATACATTTTGAATCTGGGAAATTCTATAAGGAGGAATCACCTAATTTCTTTAAAAAAAAAAAAAGTAGAGAAGGGGAAATGTAATAGATTAAGAGGCTTAAGAGACAAATCTACCAAATACAATGTATAACCTTGTTTGGATAAAAATTTATATAAATCAACTAGAAAAATGCCATGCTTGGTTTTACACCCACCTTGAAATCTGTTTTATGTAACCTCATTACCATCTGGAGGGGGGAAAACCCATCTCCACAACAGTTCATGAACAATGTAGATTTAGTGAGTTTTCATGAGCAGACAGAGGACAGTGACACTGAATCCCCCACAGCAAAATTTCCTTTAAACAATCCCCTTTTATCAACTGTATCATTGTCCAAATCTCCAACCTCAGGCAGTTAACACATCCCTCTCTTCTTCCATTTCTTTCTCAGCAGCCTCCCTTCTTTAAATCCACTCAGCAAAACTAAAGACACACAGAAGAACCCACAGCAAAACAAAACCCCTTTAACCGTGCACTTGATTATTTCCAAGGCTCGGCCCATCAGTCCGGCCATTCACAGTGAAGCCGCTGAGGCCCAGGTATGGGAGGCTTGCCTGAAGTCCCCTGGGAGTCAGAGGGAAATGGATTTCCTGCTCCTCTACCCCTTCGGGCACACTGTACTGCTTCATGAGCACAGATGATGCGAAAGGAAACCACCGTGTAATGAAAGCAGGAAGATTTTAAGAACACAGATTCATGAGTAAATTGGTGAGATCAATGGGTGACCATCTTAAACAACTGCCGATAGGCAGTGTTTCCAAACACTTACTTGAGCCCATTTTTAATCTGCTGCACAGCCTTGTAAGACATAAATGCTGGCCTTCTGACAACATCCTTTTGGGTCTTGGAAGCTACATTTGTTTGAATCATGCCTTTAGAGAGAAAAAGGAAAACAAACAAGAACCAAGAATTAGTCCTAGAAAATGATGTCCTGTTATTTTTTGTAGGCTAGTCACACAGCAAATATTCATGACTGAACTGTTACATGTATGAATACAGAAAATCCTTTCGGATGGGAATTGCTCATGATTAAAAACCTGTATCCTTCACTGCCCTTATGATAAGACCCAGAAAACAAAGAGGCAACGAGATGAGCAGTCAGTGATTAATTGAATCTGTAAATCAAAGTCAGATAGTAAAGGGAAGGACTAGGGCAGCCAGATAACAAGACATCATCCAGGTAAGCTGCCCTAAACCAGGCAACGATGACTATGGGTTGGGATGTGGTAGCTATATCTTGAAGGATTTTTCTGTATCAAGTGTGAAATGTCATTTTCAATTCATGCATCTTGTAGAGTCAGGTCCAAGTTGCAGCCAGAGGGAGCTCTTTATTAAAAAGTAAATCATCTGGGGCGCCTGGGTAGCTCAGGCAGTTGAGCGTCCGACTCTTGGTTTTGGCTCAGATTGTGATCCCAGGGTGGTGGGATCAGGCTCTGCATCAGGCTCTACACTCAGCGGGGAGTCTGCTTGGGATTCTCTCTCCCTCCTCCTCTGCCTGTCCCCTCAGGCATGCACTGGTGCTCTCTCTCAGTCTCTCAAATAAATAAATAAAATCTTAAAAAAAAAAAAGTAAATCATCTTACCTTGCTAGTGAAAGTATCAAATAGCACGGCCACTTTGGCAGTTTCTTATAAAGTTAAACATATAGTACCTACATGATCCAGCAATCCCACTCCTTTATACTTACCCAAGAGAAAAGAAAACTTACATCCAAACAAAGACTTTCACTTACATGATCCTAGTAGCATTATTCTAATAACCGAAAGTGAAAACAACCAAAATACTAAGTGTGAATGGATAAAAACAAACCATGGTATAGCCTTACAATGAAGTATTACTCAGCATTGAAAGGAGAAGAACTCCTGTACATGCAACAACATAGATGGGTCTAAAAAACACTCTGGGGGCGCCTGGGTGGCTCAGTTGGTTAAGTGACTGCCTTCGGCTCAGATCATGATCCTGGAGTCCTGGGATCGAGTCCCACATCGGGCTCCCTGCTCAGCGGGGAGTCCGCTTCTCCCTCTGACCCTACCCCCTCTCATGCTCTCTCTCTCTCTCTCATTCTCTCTCTCAAATAAATAAATAAAAAATAAAAAATAAAAAACACTCTGAGTGAAAGAAGTCAGCCACATGCAGAGTATATACCATCATATAAAGATGCTCTTTATATGATGTTCTAGAACAGATACAACTAATCTATAGTGACAGAGCAAATGGGAGTGGGAAGAGACCAATTGCAAAGGGGCATGAGGAAACTTTTTGAACTGATGGGCATGTTCTAGATCTTGATCAGGATAGCAGTTGCATGCATATGTCAGCGCTCATCCAACTGCACACTTAAAATGGATGCATTTGGGGGCACCTGGGTGGCTCAGTTGGTTAAGCATCTGCCTTCAGCTCAGGTCATGATCCCAGGGTCCTGGGATGAGCCCCACGTTGGGCTTCTGCTCAGCGGAGTCGGCTTCATCAGTCTGCTCCCTCTGCCCCTCCCCCTGGCTGTGCTCTCTCTCTCTCTCTCTCTCTCAAATAAATAAAATCTTAAAAAAAAAAGGATGCATTTTATTGAAGCCATTATGCTTCAGTATAGTTGTTGCGAAGTGAAACAAACATAAACAGTAAAAAGATAACATGAGATGGTGTGGGGATCCCGGGTGGCTCAGTCGGTTAAGTGCAGGACTCTTCATTTCGGCTCAGGTCATGATCTCAGGGTCATGAGATCAAGCCCCAGTCTGGCTCCAGGCTCAGCGGAGTCTGCTCTACTCCCTCTCCCTCTGCTTGAGACTCTCTCTGCCCTTCCCCCACTCATGCGTGTGCACACCCCCCAAAATAAATAAATATATCTCAAAAAAAAATGAGATGGTGCCACAACTCCGCTCCAAACCTTCTTGCAGCTCTCATCTCTTACAGACCTTCCCACCGTTCTTTGAAACCTCCGGCTTGTCTGCAGTTCACACTCTTGTCACCAGCCCCTCCCTCTCTTGGGGGCCCTCCTTCCCAGGTGCATGGGCTGCTCCCTTCCTCCCAAAGGTTCCTTCCAGGACAAAACTAGATGCTCCCCTAGGGACTCCTCCAACTCTCTGGCTTCTTCATCACACTGCTTCATTTTCCCCAGAGCTGTTCTCACTTCTGCCTGATGCCCGCACCTAGAACAGTGCCTAGCAACACAGCCTGCACTCCAGCGCCAGTTTAACGGTGTCAGAATATAAGAAATAGGAAAAAATCACCTAGAATACCACAAACTGCTCTGGACTAGTTTCTATGAACCAAGTGAACAAAATTGCTGGTCAAATTTCTCCAGATTCAGGAACAAGGTACCTTATCAGTTTTCCTCTCTCCACCACCTTTTTAAATTGCCGAAACAAGAGAATAATACCCAAAGGAAAAAAATCTTTAAGACATTCTTCATTTCACCATCCAACAAAAGAGATTTCTGTTTCTACCTATTCTCTTCTGGTCTTGGTCCACATCCATACATCGTTGCATTTACCAAGCATATTAAATTTTTTTAAAAAACTTTTCATTTGGGGGAAAAGAAACTTTTAATTTGAAATACAACACCTAAAGAGAAAGGCACAAAAGCATCTATTTGAGGGTTTGTCTTTTTCATTAAACGATATTAAATTTTGCTTTTACTGTGCAGTTTTCATAATAATTTTTTAAAGATTTTATTTATTTATAAATAAATAAAGAGAGATAACAAGAGCAGGAACACAAGCAGGGGGAGTGGGAGAGGGAGAAGCAGGCTTCCCGCCGAGCAGGGAGCCCCATGCGGGGCTCGATCCCAGGACCCTGGGATCCTGACCTGAGCTGAAGGCAGACGCTTAACGACTGAGCCACCCAGGCGCCCCAAAGCTATATTATTTAATACACAGTAATTGGTACAGGGCCCAAATCTCAGGTACCTCCTGGAAGGTCAAGGACCTGAGAAAGTCTTTATCTCTTTCAAAGAGACCACAGGGCTGGTCCCAAAAGGGCAACCATCTGACCATACGCAAGGAAGTGTCCCAGGGGTGCAACTGATGTGACAGTACATTCAAAGGGAGGCAGTTCCTGCCCTGATTTCTTACTAAGCACAACAGATTGCTAGAAGCTAAGCTGAAGGCCTTTCCACGGTGACTCAAATAAACATGGTGGAAGGCAAAGTCTTTAGAAAGGTGATGGATAAAACCAACCACCTAGATGATGAAGCCCAAAAGGAACAACAAGGTTCTACAAGTCTGAAGGCACCAGTGGGCCCAAAGTCTCTACTGTTGTCAGAGCCAAGGCTCTGGGGCACACACCTCCTGGCAGCCGCAGGCTCCCACCCCAGTGTACCATGGGCCTTGCTGAAGAGCACCCTGATGCTCGGTACGGCATGCACATGCACCTCCGCTCTGCTCCCACCCCCATGGAGACACTGCATGCCAGATCCAAACAACGGGCACCACTGCCAAACACAAAGTCTTACCCGCAAAACTCAGTTCGTAGCTCTGTGAACCCGCCTGAAATGGCACAACGCCCGCTGGATAGCATAGAAAGAAGGACTCCAGGTAGGAAGAGTCGATGGTTGAAGCTTGCTGATTGCCAGTCTGATTAAAAAAAAAAACAAAAACAAAAGGTAAAGACACTTCAGGGTAGGCTTTTAAGAAACCTCTACCATTGTATCTTATACAACTGTATTTTAGCCATGGGATTTCAACAGGAACGCATCTTGCCTCCCAAACCAGACTGTAAAGGCTGCTGGGTTGGGGCCGTATCACACTGTCTTGTGGCGTCCCCATCACGGGGCTAGAGGAAAACAGTCTACCTTGCAGAAACGCACTATACGCTTGGTGGATGCCCGAAAAATGGAGCTCTTTGCGATGTCCTTTTTACACCTTCTGTAAAATAAGTCTCAAGCGTACAGAACCACTTATACCCACGGTACAGAAATCACGTCTGCCCTCCCTAACAGAATCCAACACTCGGGCATGAAGTACAACAGCATAGCTGTTTTTAGCTCATCACGTGTGAGAAAGCAGTTTCGAGCTGTTGTTAAAAGGCAGGGAAGCTCCAATGGGCGTATTGTGGTCCAAATGTAAATGACCTCCCCCTTCTCCTCTGCCCTGAACCACGTAAGCAAATAAAATGGACTCCCCCCCCCCCCCCCGCCGCCCCGCCCCAAGTCAGTCAACAACACTGAAAAAGCGCTTGGATTTGCCACTCACTGGGGCTGTAATGAAAGAGGCAAGGAACACCTCCCCAAAAATGTAAAGATAGAATCTCTGGTCTCAAGGCCTGTATGAAGGGTCTGAACCTCAGAACGGGTGGGTAAAGAGAAGTGTGTTGATTCTAGCAAGGAGACAAGCTAGGCCACCATTCCGCTGTCTATACCCTATGCAGGGGGGGCAGACCAGGGCGGACCGGATGTAAGCCCTAATAGCAGGGGTTCCCAGTATTTAATGGTGAAGAGACACTTGTTCCTTATGATCTAGAATGGAGGAGCTAATACAGCAAATTCCCAGCCGGTGGCAGGGAGGGGCTCCCTGTCCCTTTAAAGACACCGCAGGCTCTGCCGCTTTCAGCTATGCCCACCCCTTCGCCCCTCCCCGTGAATATGCCTGCTGGATGTAAGGGGAGGGGGCCACAGTGAAAGCCTCCAAGGAAAATGTCCTGGACGGAGAAGGGCCTGAACTAGGTCTCTTTAGCCTGGAGATGACTATGGTGAGGACAGATACCTGCACACAGTGCAAAGCGGGAATAAACCAGAATGAGGTTCAGAAGATAGAACCAGGACAAACGGCTGGAAGTGACAAGGAGGCTACCTTTAGCAGAACTTCCGAAACTACAGCATCCAACAATTAAGTTACACCTCGAAGAGGTTTGTTGCAACAGCTGCTGGGGCATTATCCACCAGGATAATTGTAAATGAGATTGCCATGATTAGATGATGTGGGGGTGAGTCACATGCCTTCCTGGGACCCGGAAGAGCAGCTGACGTAGGCAAACGCCTACGAACACAGAACACAGGGGGCGGCAAGGCAGATCTGTCACCTCTGGGGACGCTCACCTGCCAGCTCGAATCTCTGTCCTAACCTCCCCTTCTGACAGCTCAAGTCCCACATCCTTCAACTGCCAGCTCAGCTCGGCAGGACCCTGTTCCCGGCTGGAAGCAATCTGCCAAGTGCTAGGCCAGGGACTTTCACACTTTAATTTGTGTGTTAAAATGTAGATTGTGATTCCGGGAAAGGGTTTTTAATTCTGCGTGTCAAAGAGCTCCCATGATGCCAGTGTTGCTGGTCTGCAGACCAGAATTTGACTAGCAAGGCTTTCAGGTCTAGATCAGTGTTGTCCGCTGGAACTTTCTGGAACATTTCACTGGAAATGTTCTCTGTTTTCCTGTATGATGGCCACTACCTACATGTAGCTGTCGAGCACTTAAATGTGACTAGTGTGACTGTGGAACTGAACTGTTCATTTTATTCAAACGTAATGAATTAAAATGAAATAGCCACCACAAGTGGCTGGTGGTTGTCATACTGGACAGAGCGAGGCAATTTCAGTGTCTGAGCGTTTGGACAGCCCAGCGTGCCTCCCACTTGGTCCCTCCTCAGGCCCTTCCCTCACACTGTACTTCAGTTCTGAATAAGTGAAGGAGTGAATGAGTGATAGCGCCTTCGATGATTTATTCTCCCAAAAGACTTGAATGTGTATCTCCATTTCAGTAACCAGGTCTTGGCTTTTGTGCTGTGCCCACATGCCGCCTTGATCTTGGTTTCTAGAGCAATGGCGAGCCTTTGCCTTGGGCGATTCTCTCAGGCCAGGGACTCCTGCCCCTCGACACCACAGCTACTAAGCTCAGCTCCCAGCTAGTCAGCTTCTCTGCGGGGCTGGATCTGCAAGTACTGCCGGATGCAAACCCCATGGCGACCAGGCCCTGCCCTCCAGTCACTCCTGCTGTCACTCCATCCTGCACCACTGCTGCCCACCTGCCTGGCTATTCAACCATTACTCCTCCCAGTGCCACATCCACTCCCTGTCTCCCATCTCTATCGGAACAAGTCCCGGCTCAGCACCTGAAATTCCATAAAAGGATATCAAGTCTACATTCCAAAGAGTTCACAGTCAAAGCATATGCACTTACCCAGGTTGGCAAAAGCTCTTCTCCCAGTTTCTACTAGGGAGGCTACTAACCCAGAAATCTGTTGCCCCAACTCTTATTAAAAATTCAATTGCAAGAAATAAAACCTGCAAGACTCTCCCTATCTGAAGGCTATACAGTCCACTCTTTTCTCCAAATATTCTAACCTCTACGCTGAATCAAACCAGGCCATCAAAGAGCTGCAGACTTGACCCATACACACTGAACTCTGAAAGAAACCAGGCTGCTCATCATGTTGTGGTTCAAATCTCCTGGGAACACCAATTTTTATTTCACTTGGACAGACAGCAAGGAAAACAGCAAATCTAGGGCCTTTTTTTTTTCTTTAGTAACAGAAGAGCCAATTCAATGTATATAACAATGGGTCTAATTAATATGAGAGAGTAATAATTTATTCACCTCACCAAGAACATGTGCCACAGATTAAAGGAATCCGGGCGCCTGGGTGGCTCAGTCGGTTAAGCGACTGCCTTCGGCTCAGGTCATGATCCTGGAGTCTCGGGATGGAGTCCCACATCGGGCTCCCTGCTCAGCAGGGAGTCTGCTTCTCCCTCTGACCCTTCCCCCTCTCATGTGCGCTCTCTCTCTCATTCTCGCTCTCTCAAATAAATAAATAAATAAAATCTTAAAAAAAAAAGATTAAAGGAATCCGACAACATCCTACGTTTGCATAAAGTTCCAGGTTACCTTCTAGAACTTTGCATTTAACACAGATTGAATGTCCCAGGGAGAACTTGATATATCAAGAAGTTCTATCAGACAGGACTCCAGGGTGGCTCAGTCGGTTAAGCGTCTGCCTTTGGCTCAGGTCATGATCCCAGGGTCCTGGGATCAAGTCCCGCATCAGGCTCCCTGTTCAGCGAGGAGCCTGCTTCTCTCTCTGTCCCCTCCACCCGCCCCCCATGTTTGCTCTCTTGATCTCTGTCTCGCAAAAATAAACAAAAATACTTAAAAAAAAAAACCTGAGGCCTATAGTTTGTTTTTATTTTAACCAAGGCTAATTAATTTGAGTTTGTGATATCTATTTCCACAGTCAACTCACAGAATCACCTTTACAGAACTGCACTTTGACATCATCTTTGGCTTGACTGTGGAGAGAACCCGGACAGATCTCGACATCACGAGGGTTTTCATGCCATACTGTTCCACAAGCCACCACAGGAGAGAGAAGAGCAAAGGGGATGGTGACCAAGACACTGGGCTCTGAGCCCCTCTCCTGTTTCCACAGGGCAGCTCTGCTCTACTCTTGCTTGTTCATTTGGGTTCTGTGAGCGACGGTTTGCTGACACAGGTCTGCTGCTAAGACAGCAGGAAACCACCGTACTAGGCAGAGTCGGAAGGGCTCCTGGGGAGGACCTCGCTGGCAGCAGCACACATGCTCCCCTCTCTGTGGCCCCAAAGGAGAGGTTTTCCTCAGGTTCCACTGACAGAAAAAAGCAGCGCTTCTCCTGAGTAACTGGTGTGTGCTCCCGTAGAGGCACAGGTGGTCTTGTGATGAGGGTGTTTCTCCATGTGCTTTGGATGCGAGGCAGCTCACAGCCAAACTCATGGCCCGTCGACTTCTACGTGGAATAAAACCTTTGGCTGGCAATTCATGGTCCCTTACTTTGGCTCTGGCTTCATTTTTTCATATTTGTGTTTCTTTCTTTCTCTTTTTTAAGATTTTATTTATTTAGGGCACCTGGGTGGCTCAGATGGTTAAGCGTCTGCTTTCGGCTCAGGTCACGATCCCGGGGTCCTGGGATCGAGTCCCGCATCGGGCTCCCTGCTCCTTGGGAGCCTGCTCCTCCCTCTGCCTCTCTCTCTCTCTCTCTCTCTCTGTCTCTCATGGATAAATAAATTTAAAAAATCTTTAAAAAAAGATTTTATTTATTTATTTGACAGAGAGAGACAGAGAGGGAACACAAACAGGGGGAGTGGGAGAGGTTGAAGCAGACTCCCCGCTGAGCAGGGAGCCCGACGCGGGGCTCAATCACTGGACTCTGAGACCATGACCTCAGCTGGAGGCAGATGGTTAACCGATTGAGCCACCCAAGTGCCCTATTTATTTATTTTTAAGGAAGTACCACACCCATCGAGCCCAACACAAGGCTTGAACTCATGACCCTGAGATCAAGACCTGAACTGAGATCAAGAGCTGGAAGCTTCACCAACGGAGCCACCCAGGCGCCACCTGGCTTTGGCTTCATTTTAATCTCTCGCTTTCCTTTTTTCTTTCTTGTCACTCTGATTTCATTGCCTTCTCTCTCTCTCAATTTAATCCTGTGAATCAAACACAGGAAGGGCCACTAGAAAGAAGCCCCGCTGATCTTAACTTCTGTCTGTTTCCACGTGCCTGTGTGGGTAAGCTGCCATCTTCCACTTCCGGCCCTTCAAATCCATCTGAATCCAGACCCTGCCTGAGTCCTGGTGACCATCTACCAGTCTTCTGATTTCTCACCCGCCTTGTCCCCTGGCTGGAAGCAGCTACAAACTCACACATAGGAAGCTTGCTCAAGGTTCCAGCCCCGTCCCTGATCGTGAGGAAAGAAGGGTGTGTGGCTAACTCAGGTCTCAAGGGTTTCCTTGTAAATAATTCATAGATTCTGCTGCGTATGACAGCAGAGTATATGCTTGCTAAGAAAAATGCAAATACAGCTGCGTAGAGCGTGAAAAAGCACTATTCCCACTACCCCAACCGCTCTCCATGGGTAACCATGTAGGCATCAAACGTTTTACTAGCAGTTTTTTCTGAAGGTGTCAAGTTTAAACAAGAGCCTCCACGAGGAGGGAAGGTACTCACCTCCTCTCCGTATTCAACCCATTCGTCCGATTCATTCTTCCAGTACCAAATCCATTTCGTGGCAAAGACAAAATTGGTCAGCGCTGTGACAGATGAAGGCGTGGAGATGCGTCGGATAGGATTAAAATTACAAGTCATTTTCTGGAAATCGATGTCTTTATTTCCAATAGAAAAGCTGAGAGGGAGAGGTTTAAAGTTAACAGAATACTTCAGTGACCTCGATGGTCTACAGTCTGGTCTTCCCTAACAAAAACACAGAATTAAGATCTTAGAGCTGACGGGGATCTTCAAATTTTCTTTATAAAGCTCCAGGTCTTACACACAGAAGAAGAAAAAACTGAAATGCAGAGAGGGTAGGTAAGTTACCTTCTGCATATAGTTAATGATGTCACAAAATATATTCTCTCCTCAACAAATATGCTAGAATAAAATGGGCCCACAAAACAAATGATTGGCTCAATGTTAGAAACTCACGGTAGGCCAGGTTTTTCAAGTATTATTTAAATAGCTACACAGTGTGGTCTGAGATCTTTGCAGAAAGCCGGGAAGGTCAAAGTTATTTTCATAATAATATTAAGACATTATTTGCCTCTTTTTACTTTCATACTCTCATAGGTGCACAGTGGAGTTTTCCAGAAGCTACATGATGTGTGATTCTACGACAGATTAAAGAGATTTGTCAAAATATAAAACCATGTCATTCTTCTGAATGAATTTTTTTGTCTCATTTTGGAAAACAGGTGTTATTTATACATACATATATAGTTATTACATATAACTATTTATAATTATATAAGCATAGTTATATAAAAATACGGTATTTGTTACCATAAATGAGTTTATTATCGTTATTTTTCAATGAATCCATAAATATTGAATTCTTCTCAGTCTCGATATTTATTTTTTATTTATTATTATTATTTTTTAGAGATTTTTATTTATTTATTTGAGAGAGACAGCCCAAGAGGGGGTAGGGTTAACCAACTGAGCCACCCGGGCGCCCCGAGGGGGTAGGGTTAGAGGGAGAAGCAGACTCCCTGTTGAGCAGGGAGCCCGATGTGGGACTCGATCCCAGGACTCCAGGATCATGACCTGAGCCGAAGGCAGTCACTTAACCAACTGAGCCACCCAGGTGGCCCTCAGTTTTGATTTTTAATATGGTAAATATTGACAGCTATAATTCACATAAACAGAAGTTTTTTGGGATCCTCAATATATTTGAAGGCTGTAGAGGGTTCCTGAGACCAACAAGTTTGAAAATTATTGCTCTAAGAAACACCTCCTAAATCCGTGGTTCTCAATGAGGAATAGTTTTGTCCCCCAGGGAATGGTTAGCAATGTTGAAAGATATTTTTGGTTATCACAACAGGAATCTAGTGGATAAAGGCCAAGAATGCTCCTAAAGAGCCCCCCCAAGTCAAATAATTATCTAGCCCCAAAAGTCAAGAGCGCTAAGGTTGAGAAACCAGCTTCAGATACGGAGGGGGTGGGGGGGAAGAAACGCACCTCCGAACAAGAAAGTAGCTGATGCTACCCTCTAGTGGCAAAACGCAGTAACACAGAATCTCCACCAAAAATTCACTATAAAAGGATGGCATGTAAGCAATTGCCCCGCCCCACCCCACCCCCGCGAAGAATTTCCTTGTAACAGAAAGAGGAGGAGGAGGAAGAAACAGAATCATAAATACAGAAAGCAAACTGGTGTTGCCAGAGGGGAGGGGGTCGGGGGATGGGCAAAATATGTGAAGGGGAGTAAGAGGCACAAACTTCCAGTTATAAAATAAGTCACAGGAATGAAAAGTACAGCACAGGAAATAAGAAAAAAAAAGAATTTCCTTTATAAAACTAGGATGCATTTTTTTTTAAAGATTTATTTATTTATTTGACAGAGAGATGCACAGCAAGAGAGGGAACACAAGCAGGGGGAGAGGGAGAGGGAGAAGCAGGCTCCCCACCGAGCAGGGAGCCCAATGCGGGGCTCGATCCCAGGACCCTGGGATCAGGACCCGAGCCGAAGGCAGACGCTTAACGACTGAGCCACCCAGGCGCCCCTAGGATGCACTTTCTAAATATGAATATGGTCGTGAGTGGTATCACCCAGTTCACCCCTGGCAGAAACAGAAACGTAAGGCGTCCTCTTAGATACCCCCAGAAGAGAGAAATTAGCAAACGTAAAGGAAGATATAAAAATGCTCAAGCAGACAACAGAATTCTGCACTAGAACTATCTGAAATTAGTCAAGCCGTGTTCTACAGCTATCAGATTAAGCCACAGGCTCTTTTGCACTACACTCATCATACTTGTGTTAATGCTACTGAGTTCCCAGTACTACAAACTGACCCCTGCAGGACACAGTGATGATAACTGGATCACTGTTTATATCACATGAGTTAGGAAACAGTCCCAGAACCCCTAGTATTAGCCAGGCTCTTCGTGACTTCAATTCTAGCTCATGTTTTTCTTCATGAACTCAGCAGGCATCTGCCATTTTTTTTTATCTCAAGAGGTACCTGAAACTTGAATGGGATTCTGAAGGAAAATGGTTTTTTCTTCTCGCCGTAAGCCTAGCACTATGCTTTCTTTTGATGATGCTGTGGACCTCACAAGCCAGAGTCTGGTCACCAACTTACGTGCGGATTTGGGGGTCACAATAGGCCTTCTCAATATTCTCCATGGGCTGGAGGTCCATCCAGGTGTTTGCAAGCCGCATCTGCCACCGGTAAGGGAGGTGGAAGTGAACTTTGTTGCAGTTTTCTACAAAGACAGAGAGGAGGTCTGAGGGTCTGTTCAGTGGGGGTTCTTACCAATTCAACCAAGTTCACTGCTGACTTTCCCCAGTAAGGCCTGCTTTTCCTGTCCTGCCAGACCTGCATGGAAGCCCATTTCCAGTCTAGGCCTTTGCCCATGCTGGTTCCTGCCCACACTGCCCCACATCCGTATCTTCAGCTCCCCTTGTCACCAATAGAGACTCGTCAGAAAACAAAAATTCCCCACTTCCCAAAGAGTCACTTTATCTGCATGGAACTCTAACATCATTCTAGCATCCACAACTGTATGCATTTCCTTGACGCCTTGGCCTAAGATTCGGCTCTTCCAGAAAGATTCACCCTCACTCATTTCACTCTGTTCTGATCTGACTTGTATTTTCTATGCTCTCTCTCAAATAAATAAATAAAGCTTTAAAAATAAAATAAAATAAAACCACAAGAGGCAGGTTCAGACATCCCAGGGAAAATCATAGAGCCGTACTGCCCGCGGTCTGGTGGATTGAAAATTATACAACCATTCGTGACAGTCCATATCTCACGCCCATTAGAATGGCCGCTCTAAAACCAAACCAACACAAAACAGAAGCAAGTGTTGGCAAGGGGATGGAGAAACTTGAACCCTTGTGCATTGCTACAGAAAACGTAAAACGGTGCAGCTGCTATAGAAAATGGTGTGGCAGCTTCTTGAAACATTAAACGTAGACTTATCAAAACACATTTTTTTAATTTTTTATTTTATTTATTTGTTGGAGAGAGAGCGTGCGTGTGCAATCAGGGTGAGAGGCAGGCCGAGGGAGAAGCAGACGCCCCGCTGAGTGGGGAACCAGATGTGGGGCTCGATCCTGGGACTCCGGGATCACGACCTGAGCTGAAGGCAGATGCTTAACCGACCGAGCCACCCAGGCGCCTCCCAAAACAAATTTTTTAGATAAACACCGAATTACCATAATATCCAGCAATTCCACTTCTGGGTGTATATCCCAAAAGAAGTGAAAGCAAGGTCCTGAGCAGATCTCACACATCCAGGCTGATGGCAGCATTATTCACAACAGCCAAAAGGTAGAAGCAACTCAAATATCCATTCACAGACGATCGGATAAACAAAATGTGGCATGTATGCACAATAAAATATGATTTGGCCTTAAAAAGGACAAGGAAATTCTCATACAGGAAATTCTCTTTCACAAGGATGAAACCTGAGGACGTGACACAAAGTGAAATTGGCCACTATCACAAAGAGACAAATACCGTGGGATTCTACTCCTGAGGGACCTCCAGTCGTCCTCCTCAGAGAAACAAAAACTAGAACCGTGGCTGCCAGGGACTGGAGACGGGGTGGGGGGTAAAGAGCTGCTGTTCCAAGGGCAGCAGGGTTTTAGTTTTGTCAGACAACAAAGAGTTCTGGAGATTGGTTGAACAATAATGTGACTCTAACCTTACTGACCTATACACTTAAAAATGATTAGGAGAGGGGCGCCTGGGTGGCTCGGTCAGTTAGGCGTCTGCCTTCGGCTCAGGTCATGACCCCGGGGTCCTGGGATCGAGCCCCCCTTCTGGCTCCCCGCTCAGTGGGAAGCCTGCTTCTCCCTTTCCCGCTCCCCCTGCTCGTGTGCACGTCACTCTCTCTCTCTCAAATAAATAAATAAAATCTTTTAAAAAAATGATTAGGATAGTAAAATCTATGCTAGGTGTATTTTACCACAATTAAAAAGAAAAAAAAAAACATTTAAGTTAAAGACTTAGGATTTCAAGAACACAGGGCAGAATCTTCCTTTTCAGACCCTGGGTGAAGGAGTCTAAGACCACTAAGGGGTCAAACAGAGGAATCCAGTGTGATGCCTGGGCCCGGGGCAGACACGTGAAAGTGAGCAGGTGGTGTCACGCTGGGAGGACAGCCGTCTGTCCCGGACACAGTTCCACGGGACACAGCTCTGTAGGAAGCTGGAGGGAGGGGACAGTGAATGGTGTGGCTCCTCGCCTGGAAGGACACACAGTCTGTGGAGTGAAGGACTCTCAGTACACGTATATGAAAAGAGGGCCCCTGACAAAGTATAATATTTCACTTAAAAGTGAACACGAAAGGAGAAAGTATAATATCATGCAGTGGTCAAGAACCTAGGCTGGCTGGGCAATTTAGAGTCAAAACCCAAGTTGGCTACTCTGACCTCTTAGTACCTCTGGTTTCCACATCTATAAAATGGGTTAACAACAGAATCTGCTTCTAGGGTTGACGTGAAGTTTAAAGACGATGCACATAAGTTTCTTGGCAATGCATCTAAAATACAGCAAATGCTCAGTAAATGTTGGCTTGTAGAAAGTCCCTAAGTTACCCACCAACTTGACAGTCCCTACACAGATGGTCAAGACAAATTTCCTTCGAGCCACTATCATCCATCCTGGAAGAGCCGGTACTCTCAACGTCCGATGCAGAATCTATAAAACAAAAGAAGATGCGCGTATGCTGATCTTAGTGTTTAGACCAAAAATCAAGATACCTGATCTCACAATGGGAAAAAGTGTCTGTAACTAGCACCATGTTCGAGAAAATTCCGGATTCGTGTGTTGCTCATGAAAGCCCAGACAGCCCCTCCATCAAAGCAAACATGGATGTTCGGGTCATGTGAGAGGTATGTTTATTGCTTAAACCATGACCAAACTACTCCTGTTCTCAGTAAATGTGGCAGCTTACTCCACATGGTTCAAGTGTCAGTACTTGAATCTTCCCATCAGCCTCCTCACCGGTACCACCCCTTAACCAAACCCTCCAACCCTATGTATGCCCTTTAGTAACTACTGGGGAACATCCACAAAGAGGCCACCAGCCACAACAGTTCTGCTGTCGACACAAGACATGGGGCCCCCTTTGTCCTTCGGTGACTTACACAGAGCACATCTTGGGGTCCTTTCAAGCTCACTGGCAGAGTTCTGACCATGGCTTGCATAGGCTGCAGCTCTGTTGCTTGAGGAGGATGTGGAAGGTGGCATCTTGGACTGAGTACGGACTTGTGAGGTGGGGACAGTGGTCTCCCGAGGTGTCGGCAGGACCTGGGTTTCCAGACTCTGACTTCCAAAGCACATTGCATTTTTATCCCCTCTGAATGTCCGTGTGAAGTCAAAACCGGTGGCACCAGCTGTATTGACTTTGATGGTTTCATCCGCCACTTGACTAGAGCCATTTAGTGCACCGTGGACAGATTTATTAGCCCAAATTGTCTTCTCTCTGTATTGACTGTTAACAGATGCCACTGTCGGATCATCGCCATCTGTGATTTTGCCAGTGGTTTGGAGATTACTGTGCGTGGTTCCGGTGTCCCGATTCCTAGGCAACGGTTTTTCCCTCTGTCTACTGGTTGCGGTTTTGTGATTGAAAGGTCTTGTGGAACTTATATCTGTGGCCATTCCATCAACATTATTATTAAAAAGTGGGACATACTGGACATTTTGTTTCCCACCTCTGCCCTCGGTGTTCACGCCGTCCGAGGAGAGCATGCCCACGCTCTTTCTGTCGGTTATGGCATCAGGTGTTTGTGGAGAACCTAGAGGAGAGCCAGGGGCAGCTTGACTCTGAGGAAACAAATTCTCTCTACCAGTGCCTTTGCCATTCAGCCAGGTTGCAGGGCCCTTCTGGTTGGAAGCAGGCACTGAATCAGAAGGGAAGTAAATGCTACCTTGATTCCCATAACAGAGATCTTCTGGGCTGCCATTCTCTGAAAAATGCAGGCTTCCTCCTACTTGATCTCTTCCTCTGAGATTATCAGCCTGAGGCGGGACCGGGGAGGGCTGAGGGCCATCCTGACTTCCCAAACGCACGAACCTGTGGGCCAGGTCCTCTACGGGCATGTCATCCAGGGGAGGCTTGTGGCCGATTTGATTTGGAGCAGGTGTGCAGGACTTTGGAGTAGGAGCTGAAGCCGATGGAAGAAATTCTGTACTTCCCTGAAATGATCGGTCTCTGCTCTTGCTTCTACCTCTGTAGGCCGGGTCTCTACGATAGGCCAGAGGAGCTGGGAAAAGAAAAACGAAACCAGGAAAATGAGCGCTAACAGGTTTGGGTTCTCACCACAGTTCTTCCTCAGCTTTTCCAAGTTCACCATCTGAGTTCTGTCAAATTACGCGTCCCAATCTGGTGTGTAAAAATCTTGAGAAGGGTGTTAAAGATGATGAAGGAATCTGCTTTTCTGCTGGAGGAGCAGGAAACACCACCCCCACGGCCTAAGGATGAGAGTCAGAGTGACCCTGGCTCTTCTCGACTTCTCTCCCAGGTCTCCGATGAAACCCCCAAGCCCCAAACTCTCAGGTGGGGCTTGTCCACTATGCTCTGGTTCAAAGTCAACATTCATCGCTATGGCGAACAGAGATGCACAGGAGTGCGAGTCAGGGAGGATTTTCAAGTCATTTAGATTTTGCCCATATTGTGATGAAGGTCCCCAAGCAAATTCAGGATCCATAAATAAATAAATAAATAAATAAATAAATAAATAAATAAAACCATAGTGTAAAGGTCTGATTCCATTTAAACTAGAAGTTCTTCCACAGTCCTTCATCTAGTCCCCAAATGCCCAAGCTTAAGTGAGAAATGTCAAAAAGAATTAGCCTCTCTCAAGAAATCTGATGAGTCACACTCCCTGGGAAGAGGGAATGAGTGAGCATGCGTGTTTGTGAGTGTGTGTGAAGTGTGCGTGTGGGGTAGGCGTGTGTGTGGTGTGTATTGTGCTGGGTGTGGGTGCATACATGAGGGGTATATGTGTATAAGACGTGTATGTGTGGTGTACGTGCATGAGGGGTGTGCGTATGTGAAAGAGAGAGATGTAGTTGGTGTGTGCGATGTGTCTGTCAGTAAGATGTGCATGTGTTATGTGTGGTGTGAGGTATGTGTGTATGGTGTGAATGCATGTGTGTGTGTGTGTGCCGTGTACAAGTGTGTGGTCCAAGCGTATATGTGTGGTACGTGTGTTGTGTGTACATGTGTGTGGCATATAAGCCGTGCTACTGTGTGTGGAGAAGGGGAGAGAGAGGGCCTTCCTCTTCCAAACTCGGAGAGCAGCAGTAATAGAGTAAAAGCAAACATCCTTCTCCTGCCAACAAAATAATTAAGTAAATTAACCAGAAGGGATAATAAATAAAGATCTCTCTCACGTACAATGAATTTATATTGGGAAACTATGCCAGAAAACAACCCTCGAGAGGTTCCCCTCCCCTGTTCAGACAGCACTGTGATGTGGGAGAAAAAACACCAGAGGAGGGACCAGAACACATTAGTTCTGCTGCTACCTAGTGCCGTGAGGCCTTGGAAACATCCTTTTTATTTATTTATAATAAAAATGATTTAAGACTGCTTGCAATAAAAGTCATTTAAAATTTCTGAGCCTCGGGGCGCCTGGGTGGCATATAGTCAGTTAAGCATCCAATTCTTGATTTTGGCTCAGGTCATGATCTCAGGGTCCCGGGTTCAAGCCCTGCATTGGGCTCCACGCTCAGCATAGAGTCTGCTTGAGATTCTCTCTCTCTCTCTCTGTCCCTCCCATTCATGCTGTCTCTCTTTAAAATAAATAAATAAAATCCTAAAAAATAAATATAAATAAATAAAATTTCTGAGCCTCCGTCTCCTTATCAATTAAATAAGGCTAATAATACACCTTTCTTTCTTCATAGCTTTGCTGTCAGGAACAATGATGAGATATTTTTGGTGAAAAATCCCTGCTTAATTATAAAGCATTTCTCAAATATAAGGAGGTGTAATTATTTATTATGTAATACAGAATCTTCGAATTATGTATTCTATTTGCTTTATAAAATTCACCCCTCTCACATCCATTTCACAAAGGCTCAAAAAATTGCAAGGGTTAATATCATTAAACAATGTGAAAATGATTCAGGAATAGACCCGATCACTTCACACCCATCAGGGTGGCTGTTCACCTAAAAACCGAAAATAACACGTATTGATGAGGAAGTGGAGAAACTAGAAGGAACCCTTGTGCACTGATGGTGGGAATACAAAATGGCGGAGCTGCTGTGAAAATGGGATGACAGTTTCTCAAAAAATTAAACCTAGAATGACCATGTGATCCAGCAACTCCGCTTCCAGGTGCATAACCAAAAAAACTGAAAGCAAGGCCTCAAGCAGATATTTGTATACCCATGTTCATAGCAGTATTACTCACAATAGCTAAAGGTAGAAGCAACTCAAGTACCCAACCAGGAATGAACGGATAAGCAAAACGTGGCATACACATACAGTGGAATGTTATGCAAAGCGAAATAAGCCAGTGTTACCAAAAGGCAAATAACCTACAATTCTATCTATATTTGGCACCTAGAGTAGTCATATTTGTGGAAACAGAAAGTCAAATGGTGGTTGCCAGGGGTTGGGCGGAGGAGGGAAGGAGGTATTTCATAGGTATAGAGTTTCAGTTCTGCAGGATGAAGTGAATTTTAGAGATTGGCTGCAAAACAGTGTGAGTGCACTTAAGGCCAATGAACACTCAAAAATGGCTCAGATGTGGGGCACCTGGGTGGCTCAGTCGTTGGGCGTCTGCCTTTGGCTCAGGTCATGATCCCAGGGTCCTGGGATCAAGTCCCGCATCGGGCTCCCTGCTCAGCGGGAAGCCTGCTTCTCCCTCTCCCACTCCCCCTGCTTGTGTTCCCTCTCTCGCTGTGTCACTGTTTGTCAAATAAATAAATAAAATCTTAAAAAAAAAAAGGCTAGATGGCAAATTTTGTTAGGTATATTTTTACCGCAATTTTTAAATTATATATAATATTGTTTAGAGAGTCTTTTTTTTTTTCCAAAGGAAGGACATGCTATAACATGGGTTGGATGAACCTTGAAGACACTATGGAAGTGAAATAAGCTCATCACAAAAGTATAAATCCTATATAACTCCCCTTCTGTGAGGATGCTGCAGAGGTCAAATTCACAGAGACAGAAAACAGAATGGCAAGTTGCCAGGGGTGGGCACAGGAAGGAATGGGGTTATTGTTTACTGGGTATGGAGTTTTAGTTTGGGAAGATGGGAAAAGTTCTGGGGATGGATGGTGGTGATGGCCGACAACAGTGTGAACTGTTGTAACTACACTTAAAAAATGGTTAAAAGGATCAATTTTATGTTATCTCTTACCAGAACACAAAAGGTAAAAATAAAATACATTTTTAAAGAAACAGTACTGAGGACTGTGAATTAAATTGTGTAGAGTTTTGCATTAATGCTGGGTTTCCTGTATTAATTGTATTGTGGTTATGGAAGAGAGTGGCCCTGTTTTAAGGAAGTGCATGCTTATATACACAGGTGTGGGGGCTCCTGATGACCGCATACCTCAAACGGTCTCCCCAAAAAATGGTATATGTGTGCGTGTCAGTGTTGATATGTGCACAAAGATCGAGAGAAAGTGACAAAACAATGGCAATAAAATGTTACTGGGATAAAATGCTAACAGCTAGTGGAAAAAAAAAAGATTAGCTTTTAGAAAAATGATAAACATTTTAACAAATTGGGGGGTTGGATAGTACTTAGCATGAAAATCAAATTGCAAAATTGCACATATACTACGATTATAATGAAGTAAAAATTATGCATACATATAGACAATGTCTGAAAGCAACAACAGTCTCACGTGGTGAGATAGAATGATTATAGATGAAGTTACACTTCCCTTGTGATTTTGTTTATTTCTGTTTCTTCTGTTAAAGAAAACATTGAAAGCAGTTACCTCTGTGCCCGGAGTGTTTCTTTGGGCTGTGCTTGCTGTTGCAGATGTCCTGGATGTTTTGAACCACGCTGGAGCTGAGCCCATGCTCCCTCATGATGGCCAGCACCCTTCTGTCCATCAGATTATGGGACCTGAGGCAGTTCGTATAACCACAGTTCCCTCGGGTGAAGTGCTCACAGATGTGGAGCCTTTCACACTGTGGATACTTATCACAAACCACTCTTCGACCCTCTCCCTTATAATTTTTGCATATCTGCAGAAGAGAGAAACAAACAATAGCCAGACACAACACACCTTCCCACATCAGCCACACAGTCATTAAGGAAAGCCTAAGTCAACAAAAATGTTGACAGTAAGGAGAGATATACCAAAGGAAAAAAAAATACATGTGTCTTCCACAGTCTACAATGAGTTGTATTCAGCTGATGATTTATTTAGGGTAGAAGAGGCCTGCAAACTAACTAAATGAGGCATGAATTTAATAACCTTTTGGAAGAATCAAAATAAGATGGCCATGTCCAGCTACAGGTAGGACCAAACAGGACCCAAAGGGAGCCCTACATTACAAAGGAACCCCAAAGAGGAAGGCTATCAAGTCATTCTGTAATTAAAAGGAAGTGTGGGGGGCACCTGGCTGGCTCAGATGGTGGAGCATGTGACTCTTGATCTCAGGATTATGTTCAAGGCCCACACTGGGTGTAGAGATTACTTAAAAAGAAAATCTTCAAAAAAAAAAAAAGGACATGCGGGTCTTACTTGGCAGCTGTTGTCTCTGCTAGGCAGAACGTGACAAGGCTTCTCAAAAGGTCAACTAAAGAAGGTAATTTTTCTATTTCTTTGTAAATAGCTCTGCAGACGCATAGTTCTTACTGAAAAGAGGGCATACGTATTTTTTACTCAAGTACTGTCACGGGGGCCAGACAGTATGATGCAGGACTGGAAGAAACAGATTTCAAAGTCCCCAGCCACAGCCCTAGAACCGTCTACGTGACCTCCCCTGAATTACCTACTCCCCTGTCTCTGTTTCCTTTGCTGTGAAGGAGGAAAATATTTGCTCTGTCCCCCTAATCCAAGTTATTGAGCAGATTAAATAATAAAATATGTAAACGTGTTGTGCAAAATATAAAATGAGCTGCGAAATGTTTGATTCATTACATAAAAGAATCCCAAAGATCAAAACATTTATAAGTTGTTACAATAGACTGAGCAAACCAGATCAGCATGGTTTACTGCAATCTAGGGCTTGAAGTGTGGTCCCCGGAACAGCAACATCAGCGCCACCTGGAAACTTATCAGAAATGCAAAACCTCAGACCCCGCCCCGTATCTACAGTCAGAGTCACCAGAGGTGGGGCTCAGCACTCTGGTTTAGCAAACCCTCCAGGCGATTCCGAGGCTCACTAAAGTTTGAGAGCCAGTGTCCTCCAGAAAAAGAACAACTAGCAACTTCACAAATGACACTTCGGTTAACAATCCTAGGACTGTTCTAATGCGTAGGTAAGAATGCTCCTGGCCTTGACTGGGGCGGGACAAATAACAGCATTTCTACCTTTAATAAGCACCTTTAAATTGTACAGACTTATAAACCAGGAAGTCAGGTGTGCCTGATGCTTGTATGTTCTCACAGGGCAAGGCAAAGTGAGACAGTGTGAGCACTCTGAGGTTTTTAGGGCAGGAGTGTGTCTTGTCCACTGCTGCCTCCAAGATTTAACTCAGTGCCTACCACTTGCAGGCACTCCTAAATGTTAGTCGAATGAATGCACAACAGCAAATGAAGTGAGACCCAGAAGGATTACCTGCTTTGTGCAAGATCACACAAGTAGTCGGTGGCAGAGTCAGGACTGTGAAACTACTCAGCTTACTCTTATGTTAAGAAAGCAGGAATGGACAATATGCAAATGAATGAGTGTGGCTGGGTTCCAACAAAACCTTATTTGTAAAACCAGGTGGCAGGCCGGATTTGGCCCCTAGGCCATAGTTTGATGACCTTGGATCTAGACTGTCAAGTGACAAGAAATAAAATTATATTTCCTTTGAATCACTACATTCTGGGGTGTCTTTGGTGCAACAGCTTTGCCTATCCCCTCAACCAATATACCCTATCATCTTCCAAAACTTCAATTCAAAGACCATCTCCTTCCAAGAAGCTGCCTAGATGGACAGCATCCACTAGTCCTACCACTGTATCTTCAGATCACCTCAAATAGGAAGGAAATTGCTGGAATCTTTAGGTCACTTGGCAACAGCCAGCTGTTGACGGCTATCTGCAGAGTCTGGTGGTAACTTTGAGTCTTTTGTGCTCCTCTCCCAACACATCCATGACACAACGCTGCCAATCGTACTCTCTTTGCTGCTCAAACTAAGGAATCATAACTTACCTCGGGCATAAAAAAAGGGTCACTTTGGACGAGGAGCACTGCTAATTCCTCTTTGTTCAGTCCAGAGAGCTCATGGTTTTTCAAGACCTTGAAGTTCTCTTCTGAGAGAACGTTGTGAGAATATTTGCACAAATTCCTGGAATAAAACAACAATTGTCAGTGTTTCCACTTCACAGAAGTGAAGAGAAACAAATCATCCAGGGAACTTTTCAGTTATCAATTCCCACATCCTCTGGTAACTAATCCTGCTTAGAGAACACACTTTAAAAATATAAATTGATGAAACACCTAAATGGGGGTACAGGGGATGTATTTTTTCAAAGATTTGTTTATTTATTTATTTATTTATTTATTTATTTATTTATTTATTTATTTGAGAGAGAGAGAGAGAGCGCACATGCGCACTCTGGGGTAGAAGCAGAGGGAGAGGGACAAGCAGACTTCCCATGGAGCGCAGAGCCAGAAGTGGGGGCTCGATCCCACAACCCCGAGATCACGACCTGAACAGAAACCAAGTCGGACGCTCAACTGAATGAGCCACCCAGGAGATGTATTTTTTTCACAAATCATACACATCTATATTTTAAATTGTCACAATACTTCTTTAAACAGTATCTCCTCTAGTATACATTACTAGGGGAAAAAGTTGACAAAGAACCTAAGATCAATTTATTGGAAATGATTGCCCACTGAGGGACAAATAATAATTAGGATAATACATCTATGGACTTGGGGCACCTGGCTGGTTCAGTCCATAGAGCATGTGACACCTGATCTCAGGGCTGCGAGTTTGAGCCCCACATCGGCTGCAGAGATTACTTAAAAATAAAATCTTTAAAAGAAATATGTGTATGGACTGACAGTAAAAGTCAATGAGAAAAGAGATTCCATTTATCAAATTGTTTTAAAGATTTTATTTATTTATTAGAGAGAGAGAGCATGAGTCGGGAGGGTGGACAGAGGGAGAGGGAGAAGCAGACTCCCCTACTGAGCAGGGAGCCCAATGCAGGGCACGATCGCAGGACCCTGGGATCATGACCTGAGCTGAAGGCAGACCCTTAACCAACTGAGCCACCCAGGTGTCCCTATTTATCAAATGTGGAACAAGCTCTTAGTTGTATGTTTCAAACAACTCTACAGAAAAAGAGATAGAAATCCCTGCACTTTAAGACATTGATGACCTAGGTCCACATTGTCTTAAGAGAACACGCTCTATGATGATGGAATTGTTCTATAATCTGAGCTTTCCAAATAAGGCTACCAAGTACTTGAAACGTAGCTAGTAAGACTTTGGATCTAAATTCTCGATTTTACTTTATTTTAATTTATTTAAATTTGAATAGCCACCTGGGCCTAGTGGCTACCATCCGGATGGCAGAGATCTAGGTCTTCGGTGTTCAAAATGTAGTGGGAGAACCAGTAGTTCACCATCGCCTGAGAGCTTGTCAGAAATTCGGAGTTTCAGGCCCCACCCCAGTTATAGTGAATCAAAATCTGCCTTTCAACAACATCCCTAAATGACTTAATGACATTAAGGTCCAAGAAGCACTGATTTAGATCTTCGAGAAACCCTGATAGCAATGTTGTTTTCATTAGACAAAAGTAATTTGTCAGTTATCAGCATCCACATAACAAACTCATTCCTCTTTTTAACTTACATATGCTACCTACAATTATAGCCAAAGTCCTCAGATTTATGGTTTTAATAGTTATTAATATGATGGGATATTAATATTTTCTAGTTTGTACGACAATCATCAAATTGTCAGGTGGTTAGGTAATGGCCGATTTTCACTATATAAATAGCATGGCTACAATTACCTTTGTACAAATAACCTTCCATCTTCTATAATATTTTCCTGGGATTTATTCCCTTGGGACTATTGCCTCAAAGGACACAGTAATTTTCTTGGCAACTTGTTTCATTTTGATCTACTGCTCTCCAGGAAACACACCAGCAATCTGTGAGTGTGTCTATTTCCCTACAAGCACACTAACAAGAAGTTTTATCACTTCTGCTACTTCAGTAGGTATGAAATAGACTTATGCTTTTAATTTGCACTTTCTTTATTAACAAGACTGAAGTATTCCCAAATGTTGGCTTGATGCTTATATTTCCTTACTTAGTCCTTACTTTCCTTGCTTCCTATTTGTTTGTATTTGTTAACTGTTTATCTATAGTAGAGAATGGTTACTGACCTACAGATTTATAACTGTTCTTTATACTTTTAAAAATCAATCATTACCAGCCTTGTTTATTTCAAATAGTTTTGCATTTTCCCCCCTTTTTACCAAGAACTTTAATTAAGGTTGCCACTGCTAAATTTTTATATGATCAGACCCTTCCAATTTGCCTTTCATAATTTTAGTACTTGAGAAATTAACTCCTCCACCATAGTGAGATAACTATATTATACCATTTTGTTTCACTTGTAAAAGAGGTATCTTCAACTATAATTCTTTAAAACATCTGGAGCTTATTATGACAAATAAGGTCAGAAAGGGACAGAAATGCTTTACATCAACTCTTCTAAATAATAATCCTATTCTTTTTTTAAGACAGTGAGGGAGGAGGAAAGGGACAGAGGGAGGGGGAGAGGGAGAGGGAGAGTCTTAAGCAGGTTCTGTACCCAGTGCATCTGCCTTCGGCTCAGGTCATGATCCCGGGGTCCTGGGATGGAGCCCCGCATCGGGCTCCCCGCTCAGCGGGAAGCCTGCTTCTCCCTCTGCCGCTCTCCCAACCTGGGTCCCCTCTCTCGTTGTGCCTCCCTCTGTCAAATAAAAAAATAAAATCTTCAAAAAAAAAAAAAGGAATCAGACACTTAACCAACTGAGCCATCCAGGCACCCTCAATAATAATCCTATTAAATAGGATTCCTTTCTTATTATTCTGTAATTCTGGACTATTGTGTGTTAATCTTGTAACTAACTTAGAACTGTTGTAATCTCTATTGGGATTTTATCAATCTACTGTTCTGCTTTAAATCTAATACAACTTAAATCTCCTTTGCGCCAGATTTTAAATATTAATGGAATAATTTATCACATCATTGGCTTACTCCTTTTCCAAAAACTCTTTAGTGTGCTTACCTATTATTTTCTCTATAGAAATTTTATTATGGTTCTGTCAATTTCCATAAAAACATCATATTGAGAATCTAATTTGTGTTAACTCCATAAATTAGACCAGATATTATGTCATCTTAACTACATTAATCTTCTGATTCTGAAACAGAAACTGTCTCTCCATTTATTCAAGTTCTATTTTTCTTAGGGAGAATTAAAATCTTTCTTTTAATAGTTTTCTTCCATTTCCCAAATATTAAACATTTATCTGTTGCCACTATGTTTTAGTTGTCACTAATGAGCAGAAATGCAAACAACTTTGCAAAATTATCTTACCGAAGCTGATAATTTTTTAATGTAAATATCTAGATAAAAGTTATTCTCTAAGAATTAATCTTTACAAGTCACTTATTCGGGGCGCCTGGGTGGCTCAGTCATTAAGCATCTGCCTTCGGCTCAGGTCAGGATCCCAGGATCCTGGGATCGAGCCCCACATCGGGCTCCCTGCTCGGCGGGAAGCCTGCTTCTCCCTCTGCCACTCCCCCTGCTTGTGTTCCCTCTCTCACTGTCTGTCTCTCCGTCAAATAAATAAATAAAAATCTTTAAATAAACAAACAAACAAATAAATAAATAGAAGTCACTTATTCTGGGGCGCCTGGCTGGCTCAGTCAGTAGAGCACGTGAATCTTGATCTCAGGGTCATAAGTTTGAGCCCCATGTTGAGTGTAGAGATTACTAAAAAAAAAAAAAAAGTCACTATTCAAATGCTGCTGTCTATGTGTAAGGCATTTCTGAAACCTTCTGGAATTGCCTTCAGATCTAGCTGTGAAACCTCCGTAAAAACAAACAAACAAACAAACAAACAAACAAACACAGAATCAATGACTGTGTGAGCTACCATCTGAGCCCTTAAAACCCAACCAGCCCTCCCATGCACTTTGCTTCATAGAGAAGTCGAGGGCAGCTGATCAGGCTCTGGGAACAGCCTCTACCCTAGCCATTTCCCCAGGCGGGTGTCTGTGTCTCTGGCACTCTTTGATAAAGCTGATTTCAGCTCTCTCAGCTTGCTTTGGGGTTCTGTGGTTTCAGATATGGCTGCTCCCAGCAATCCCCACTACCCAAGGCCCTCAGCAGCTGGGCTAAGACTCCACCTGATCACTCCTCCCACCCCCCAAGGGAAGGGGGAATCTGGAGAAAATCTACAGTCGTTGGGTGGCGGGGGGGGGGGGGCTGTCCTCAGCCTCCAGCCCAGGCAGAAAACCCCTCCATCCCCAGATGAATGGGAGACTCATTAACTATAAGGCCCCTCACTCCACCGGCCAGTGCCATTGATGATCCCCCCACTGAACTCTACCTCTGAAACTAATAATATACTATATGTTAATTAATTGAATTTAAATTAAAACAAATGATCCCCTTGCTATGGAGCTGAAAATGACCTTCTGTCTCAGAGATACCTGACAGCTGTTACTGGAAAGGAATTTAGTGATCTTTGCTTTCTCTTCAGCCTTCAACGCAGACATCCCGCCCCCGGTGCCATGACTATGGCCCCTCTCTTATGGCGAAATTAGGATCATAAAAGAGGACCCAGCCACTCTCCAGGTCACAGCTAGATGCAGCAATGGTCCTACCTGTCCTGGCTGAGGAGGAGTAGGGCACTTCCAAGGTCTCTGAAGTCAACATTTCCTTTAAATAACTAGAGGCCACCAGGCAGCCTAATGGTTCTGTCTGGAACCCTGAGTCTCTAGGCTTTTCCATGCTCACCCAGGACACTCATGCCTGGCACTGCACTGGCTGGGTCCTTGCGGCAGCCTGTCTGAAGGCTCAGTTTCACTTGTCATTTCTCACATTCACCCTCAGGCAAACTGCTCATTCCTCTAGATCCGGGACACTCACCCTGCACCCAGCTTCAGTCTGCAACATCTACGTCTAGCCTTGGTCTCTGACCGGCAGCCGCCTCCCTGGGAGGCCCTATTCCATTTTCCCACATTCCCTAGACTGCTCCCCACTTCTCAGAGGATTTTGCTTTACCCTAATTTCAGCATATTGGTCAGCCACAAGGGGGGGGCA